TCATTGGTATAAAATCCCCCCCACACTTCCCCCAACCCCACCCCAACCCCAAATATAATCCACTCTGCAACCCTCATTCCATATTCTTACGATAAACATACTGCCCTATAATATAATACTTTTAAACTATTCTCTCCCCCATAGACTTCAATGCCGTAATCATATTTCATCCGGTTTTTCTCAGTCTTTTTAAATATTGCATAGTATTCCATCATAGGAATGTGCCATAATTTCTTTAGTCGTTCATTATTGTAAGGCGTTTGCATTGTTTTCATCTCTTTGCTATTGTAAACAATACTGAGATGAATATTGAATGTGACTGTATCTGCCCTTATCTCTAATTTTGTCAAGATATAGACCTAGTAGTGGGATAGCTGGATCAAATGGTATTTCTATTCCAAACTTTCAAAGGAAGCAGCAAATTGTTTTCCAAAGTGGTTGTATCATCACTGAGTCCGATCAGTAGTGGATGAGAGTTCCAATCTCTCCAAACTCCTGCCAATGTCCACTGTTTGAACTTTGCTATTGTTGCTGTAGTGAGAGACTATCTCACTGTTACTTTAATCTGTATCTTCCTAATAGTTAACAAGGGCGTTCTGTAGTGAGTTGCATTGCTAAACCAAAGGTTGCATCTATCGCCATTATCCCCACCACTGAGTCAATCCATCTAATCCAGGGTCTTCCTCTCTTGTGCTCTCTCTCCATCCTTCCTAGCATGATGTCCCTCTCCAAGGACTGATCCCTCCTTGCAACATGTCCAAAGTATGTCAGACAGAGATTCAAAATCCTTGCTTCCAAGGAACAGTCTGGTTTCACTCTCTCCAGGATGAACCTCTTTCTTCTCTTAGCAGTCCATGGTATAGTCAACACTTTCTCCAGAACCACAACTCAAAGGCACTAATTCTTCCTCTATTATCCTTAGTCATTGTCCGGCTCTCTGATGCATAGCAAGTAATTGCAAAGACCGTGGCTTGGCCCAGGCACTCTTAAGTCTCTAGACTGACATCGCTGTTCTTCACTATGGTGGAGAGATCCCTGACAGTAGATTTTCTCAATGCAATTTATCTTTTTCTTTCCCTCTTGTTGGTACCAAGACTGTTGATTGTGGAGCCAAGCAAACTAAAGCTGTTAACAATCTTGGTCTCTTCACATCTATCATGGTGCTGCAAATTGACCTAGTGGTGAGAATCTTTTTTTTTTCTTGATGTTGGGTTTCAATCCATATTTAAGGCTTCAGTCCTTGACCTTCTGCAGCAAGTGTTTCAGGTCCTCCTTAGTTTCAACAAGCAGGGTTGGGTCATCTGCATAAGCAGATTGTTGATGAGTCTACCTCCAATCCTGATGCCACATTTCTCCTCATAGAGTCCAGCCTCCTGGATAATCTGTTCTATGTATAGATTGAAAAGCTATGGAAAGAGGACACATTCCTGGTGTGCACCTTTCCTCATTCTGAACCATGAAGTGTGTTTCCTTACTCTTTTCTGATGACTGCCTCCTGATCCAAGGTATAGGTTTCACATGAGCACAATCAAATGTTCTGGAATTCCCATTCTCCTCAGACTTGACCACAGTTTGCTGTGATCCACACAGTCAAATGCTTTTTGAGAGACAGTGGTACTCTCTACTTTTAGCCAAGATCTATCTGGCTTTAATACCCCTAGTACCACGGCCTCTTCTAAACCCAGCCTGCACATTTGGTAGGTCTCTGTTTATGTGCTGTTCCAGTCATTTTTAGATAATTCAGGAGGATCTTGCTTGAAAGTGATATTGTTCAGTAATTCCACATTCTGATGGTTTACATTTTTTTTTGGAATGAGAATAAATATGAATCTCTTCCAGAGCCAGATGGTTATCCTACAGATTTCTTGACACAACTTGATGAATTCATCCAGGGCAAATTCTGTTTGTTGATATATGTCAAGTGGTATGCCATCAATTCCTGGGACCTTGATTTTTTTGCTAATTCCTTTAGAGAAGCTTGAACTTCCTCCTTCATCACCACAGCCTCTCGACCATATGTTGTTTCATTAAATTCTTCTGTGTCAGCCAATTCTTTTTGGTACAGTGACCTGTAAACTTCTTGGATCAACACATATTAAGAGGTGCTTATTAATATGTGTCTATTATCTATTTGAGGGAGATGGCCTCGTGGCAAGAACTCGTGCGGCAATCCACATATTCATATGAGTAAAGAGACAGGAAATCTCCAGTATGATATCGGTACTGTATCACTGAAGAAACAGAAGACACAGAAAGGTGTTGAAGGATTAATGAAGATGAGAATTACGAGGAGGAAATGGGGAAAGTATGATTGGATTGTGGGTTTTGGAATTAATGAACGATAACAATGTATATAGAGTTGAATGAAAAATTAGTTTGTAAACTTTCACTCAAATCACAATTAAAAATAAAAAAATAAGTCTAAGCATTTGCAAGAGTGTGGCTCCTCAAATAAAAAGAAAAGAGGGGAGGGTTTTCTTCTTTCTTTGTCTTTTTAATGCTGATTGCACAAAAAGGGGAAAAATTACTCAGAAATTATCTCAAGTCTCTGCTGTGCTTCCCTTATTGCTCAGAAAATATGTCTTGCCCAATTCTTGCCTTCTCAATCCAAGGTTAAATCATCAAGCAAATTAGATCTCTGGTTTTGGAGAGGAATCATGCCAGAAAATGCAATGTCAAGGTCAGGAACAAAATCAATCTGAATTCAGCTGTGCAACCATAGCCAAAGCCAGGAAATGGCAATATGATTCAAGTTCCTAAGTTAAAACTGGTTGAATGCAAAAAGAAAAAAAATCACCTACTAAAAGGAGAGTTTCCATAATGGGCATAGCCCCAGCTCTGTGGGATGGAGGACCCAGACATCACTATTAGAATAATCATGGAACTCAAGTCACAATTACAAGTCCCCTCATTCAACATGACATCTGATATGGTCTAAGTTCATTCCACTACCACTGGTGTAGAGTTAGAACAGAACTCAGTCCATGTCAAAAAATAGATAGCTAGATATGGACTCTATGCTCTCCAAGGTACAGCACACATCCTAACAGGATTGTGCCTGGCCTTCTGTGCTCTTCATAGTTAAGTCATGAGAATCCAAACCACCTCACCTGATTCCCCTCAAGAATGGCATCTTCTACTTCTTCTTTCTTCAGGTCCACACAGGAAGCTACAATCGCAAATAAGTAGCTGTGCCTGCCATCCAGATGAGCCCGCCTGGCTTCTTTCTCTTCCTTCAGTCTTTGCTGAAAGAAAAGAAGAAAATGTCCTGTATCATCAGCTGTTCTCAAATTGACTCATTTTGATAAGTGTTGTCTTTGCAAGTCTTGTGTATTTAGAGAATACGTAGTTTTATGGTACTGATTTACATACTTTTATTTTATTTTAAAATTGCTTACTATTGTTGTTGCTATGTACCAGCTAGTCAGAACTGACTCCTATTTGACCCTTTAGTGAGTTTTCATAGGCAGTAAAATGTATGTAAGGAGATTACTCCTCTTTCTCCTACAAAGCAGTTGGTGGATTTGAACCACATACTTTTAAGATAGTAGTACAGTGCCTTACCACTAGGTCATCAGAGCTCTCTTTCTAAAAACAGTGTCACTTTAATTATGAAAATTATATTATATATATCAAAAGATAGTAGTATTACTGGACTTCCTTGTAAGCATATGGATATAATCCTATCACTCACGATGTTGTACTTCAAAATGGATCTAGAAATTACTTTTTTTACTATGAAGGCAACCCCATTTTTCCTCATCTTTTCATCTCCGGAGTAATATATCATATGATCATTTGACTCAAAATGCCCCATGCCAGTCCAGCTCATCTCTCCAATGCCTAATATGTCAATATTTATGTGTTCCATTTCTTTCTTAACAATTTCTAATTTTCCTACATTCATGGTTCTCACATTCCATGTTCCAATCACTAAGGTCTGCTTACAACTGTTCCTCCTCCTTTGTATTTCCATACTTGATAGTTCTACCTAGGTTGCCCTTTCTGTTAGTCTACGTGTGTTCTGCTGTACATAGGGTTTTCAGAGGCCTGCTATTTCAGAAGACGGTGGCCAATCCTTCTTCCTAGTCTGTCTTAATCTGAATGTTCAGATTTAGAGGAGTATCTGACAGACAAGCAATTTGTGGAGCAGTGAAAGATAAATCCCTTATTGTGGAGTTAACCATTACTTACAGTGTTGACCCTGTCCTTACCCCAGTGTCTTGATCCACTTATTTCCCAGCTCCACCCTCCACCAGCATACCCCTTCACATCTGCCAAGTCCCTTCAGAAATTATCTTCCAAAACCCTCACTACTGGACCAATAAGTTCAATCACGATGATAGAGAAATTACTGACATTGGACAATTTCATTTTACTTAAATCCCCAATCAACGTTTATTATTTCATGTGGGGTGGGGGGAACCTATTGTCAAAGACCTCTCCACAAAACAAATATAAGATATCATCTCAGCCAAGTAAGAATAGAAAAATTTAAAAGAACAGCAAAGATCAAATGATGGTAAGGCTGCAGAGAAACTGGAACCCTTAGTCACTGTTGGTGGGACTGTAAAATGGTGCAACCACTATTAAAGGCAGTATGGTGCTTTCTCAAAAAGTTGCAAATAAAAATACCATTTGACCCAGCAATTCCACTACTGAGAATATACCCTAAAGAAACCATAACTGCCACCTAAGCAAATGCAAACCCATGTTTATAGCTGCTTTGTTTACAATAGCAAAGAGTTGGAAACAACGCAAATGCCCATCAACGAACAAATGGATAGAGAAGCTGTGGTATAGTCACACAATGGTATACTATGCTGCACTGAAAAACAAGGAACTCAGGAAATACTATACAAAATGGGTGACCCTGGAGGAAATTATGTGGAGTGAAATATCTCAGTCACAAAAGGACAAATACTGCATAGTGCCACTGTTGTAAAATGGCATTAACATAGGGGTGGGGGGTGGAGAGTGAGAAACTTGGGATAAATTATGTATACTTTATTGAAAGAGATGAGAGCGAGAACTGTTTAAAAGGTATATTTATATTATTAGGTATTATTGTCATGACTTGAGCCCAGAACAAAGGATGCATAGTGGAGTGGACTTGGGGGGAGGGATTATATAACAATGAAAAAATGTTTCTTTAACTTTTCAAAGAGAAGAATGAACTGGAGGGCTGGGAGAAAAGTGCAACAATGAATGGAAATCCAAAATCTCTGTAAATTTTTATTAAAATTAATAAAAATAATAATAAAAAATAAAATTGAGAAAGGTGCGTGCTAAAGTTTAACCCTTTCTCCATGTTAATTCAAAATGTGTGCTGAGCAAATAAGTCAAGAAGCTGAAATACATGAGGAAGCCCAAAGCATAAGGATTAGAGACAGAAACTTGAGGCGTAATAAACTTATGTTTCTAGAGGAGGACCAACTCGAAGGAGGAGGATGAGGAGGGGCTCACAATTCAAAGGATGTAAACAATATCAATGAGTGGGAAATGTAGAAACGATTGAATTGTTTTTAGGTACTCCATGTGAGTGTGTGTGTGTGTGTGTGTGTGTGTGTGTGTGTGTACCCTTAAATCAGATCTGACTGATACAGTAGAAGATTGTCCCTCCTTCTCTAGCAGAGCATCTGGTGGATTCGAACGGTGCACCACTGGGATTGCACTGCAGCTTCTTGCCATTACGCCACCAGAGTTCCATTTTTGTTAGGTATACTCTTGAGTAAACAACAACAGATGGTGACCTTATAAACAACAGTGTTGGGTTTTGGTATATATAATCTCAACAACATAGAGTTCAGAAACTATAGAACGAAATTACTAATATCACACCCAAGGAAGATTCTGCTGAAGGTAATCAAAAAACAACTAAAATAGTACATCAGCAGAGACCTGCCAGATGTGCAGGCTGTGTTTAGAAGGGTCATGGCACTAGAGATATTAAAACTCATGTTAGATGGATCAAAGCAGGAAGTACCAGAGGAATGTCTATCTGTGTTTTCATTGACTATGCAAAGGCATTTGACTGTGTGGATCACAACAAACTGTGGCTAACCTTGAGAAGAATGGGAATCCCAAAAGAATTGATTGTTATCATGTGAAACCTAAATTTGGAGCAGGAAGCAGTCCTCAGAACAGAGCAAAGAAACCCTACATAGCTCAAAATCAGGAATAGTGTATGCCAGGGATGCATGCTTTCTCTATACCTTTTCAATATCTATGTGGAACAGAACATTCAGGAGGCTGGACTTTATGAAGAAGAGTGTGGCCTCAGCATTAGAGGAAGACTCATCAACAACCTATGTTATGCAGATGACACAACAGTGCTTGCTGAAACTCATGAAAACCTGGAGCTTTTGCTGCAGAAGGTCAAGAACTGCAGCCTCCAATATGCGTTGCAGCTCAACATCAAGAAAACAAAGATTTCTCCCCACTGGGCCAATTGGTAGCATCATGATAGATGATAGATAGATAGATAGATAGATAGATAGATAGATAGATAGATAGAAAAGAGATTGAGATTGTTAACAATTTCAGCTTGCTTGGTTCCACAATCAACACTCTTGGTACCAGCAGCCAGAACATCAAAAGACAAACTGCAATGAGAAAATCTACTGTCAGGGACCTTTTCAGAGTACTGAAGAACAACAATGTCAGTCTAGAGACTAAGGTGTGCCTGATCCAAGCCATGGTCTTCTGACTAAGGACAATAGAAAAAGAATCGAAACCTTTGAGTTGTGGTGCTGGAGAAGAGTACTGAACATACTATGGGCTGCTAGAAGAACAAACAGGTCAGTATTGGAGAGGGTGAAACCAAGCTACTCTTTGGAGGCAAGGATTTTGAAGCTCTGTCTCACATATTTTGAGATGTTGTCAGGAATGACGGGTCCTTGGAGAAAGAGAGATCATGTTTGGAAGGGTGGACGGGCAGTGCAGGAGAGGAAGACTCTGGATGAGATGGATTGATTCAGTGACCGGGGTAATAAGATTGACTCAGGATAAGCCAGAGTTCAGAGCTATTGTACATAGAATCTCTATGAGTTGCAGGCGACTCAACAACACATAACAGCAACAACAATTTTTATTAAAGAAGAAGAAAACTCTATGAGACAAAGTTCTGCCGGCACACACATTAGTCAATATGGGTTGGAATCAACTCAATGGCCAATAAACAAAAACCTCTAGAGGTTTTTGTTTGTTTATGCTTTTGGGTTTTTTTCTCATCACTAGAGTTGTACAAAAACAGAATGACAGAGCAAAGTCTAATCATGAATATAAACTCCATGAATTCTAGAAAGTTCTTCCTGCCATACCACAGAGCACAATGCCCGACACAGAACTGGCATTAAGAAATTATTTGTGGTGTGCTCAATGAAATACCATGCTCCACTGAAAAGCAAGGAACTCATGAAATATTATACAAAATGGGTGACCCTGGAGGATATTATCCTGAGTGAAATATTTCAGTCAAAAAAGGACAAATACTGCATAATACCACTGTTATAAAGCAAGACTGACATCGGAGTTGGCAGAAAACTAAGAAAAGAGGGGATAAATAGTGTATACTGCATTGAAACAGATGAGGGAAAGAATTGTTTAAGAGGAATTTATAATTAGGTATTATTGTCATGACAAGAGTCCAGAATCAAAGCTGCATAGTGGAGTGGACTGGAGGAGGGGGGCTGCATAACAATAAAAGAATTTTATTCTTTTGTTTGTTTGTTTTTACTTTTCAAAGATAAAAGCGAACTAGGGGCAGGGTAGGCAGGGAGGAAAGTGTGAAACAATGAATGAATGGAAATCCAAAGACTCTGTAAACTTTCATTAAAATAAATTTTTTTAAAAAGAAATTACTTGTGGTGTGCTCTTAGGGCCATGCTCTCCCAGCCTGGCTGTGGCGTGGTTGCTCTGCATGCATCTTGATGCATCTTTAGGCATGAACTCACGTGGGGATTGTCTGGTCATTAGCAAGCGTCCAGTTCACTCCCCAGCTGAGAGGGCCCTTGGCTTTCCAAAGGAACTGCTCTGTCTGACCTGTCCTCTGTGAAATGTGTGGGCAAGCCAGTCAAGTCTGGACCTGATTAGCAAGGAAAGCTGAAACCAAGTGGGGTATTTTGCCAGAGAATAACACAACTGACATCCTTTCAGCATTCAAAAGACACTTGAGAGCAGAGGTTCTAGTATGCCTTTGTTACGGGCTTGGTTTCTATGCACTCCCACCAGAAACAATGGCCGTCTTGCCAGGTCCTCCCAGCAGGGGAAGGAGGGTCTTCCCAGGGGAGTAGGGAGTGTCTTCTCAATCTTCCCCCAACACTCCTACCCCCAAGGGAATCACTGTTTAGAGAGCCTTAGCAGTCTGAAATTCTATTGCACAGTGTGCCAAGCATAAACATACAGAATGAAACACAAACAATGCATATCCCCACAGCAGGTAGATAATGTTTCTCCATCTCAGAATCAGCTTTGCAATTAGGTGAGTTTAACACCCAAGAGGATTACTGTGTATCTTGCCAGTTCATCTTGGGGTTTTGTGTGCTTTCCTCCCCACTCCCTTTCTGGAAGCCAACCAGCAAAATTGTGAATTTCACTGCATTTTAGGGAAAGAGGAAAAAAGAACAACCTACAAGGCTCTGATTCATGATTGTTACAACTTAAATTTAGT